GGAACAGTTAACTAAATTATCCCGTCTATTATTTCTATAGATGAATATATGAATGATTATGTAGATTTAACAATGCATGAAGTATGATTGCCTTAGACTATTTAATATTTATATATAGAAGTATATGTATATTTACACTTCCGTATTCTACCGCGCCTCCTCCTCCAGCCCATTACCGTTACCATTACATTCCCCCAAAAAGCAATACACCCCATTTAGCCATTCGCAGAAGTACCATGAAAAGTCTCAGCCATTTACCATTTTCTAAGTCGATTCAGAGACATTTATATTCGTTTTTCTATTGCGCACACAAATGAAAATTTACGCGGCAGCCAGCTGGTAATTGGTAACTTATTTAGGCCATTTGTATTCGGCAATGGGCTTTAGAGTTAGTCAGGTATGCGGGCAATACATAAATCATTTTATCCAACGGCTGATATAATCCGCACATATGTACTTCACTTAAATAAGTAACTCCTATCCCTGCTCTGAGTGGGGCTGGGGTGGGTCTGTCTGCACGTCGACACGAGGCTGTTTGAGGTTGCTTGAGGTTGCTTCAGCACGTGCCTGTACATGTGTGCCGCAGTTAAGATAGCCGAAAGCCCCAAAACCCCAAAAAGAAATCCTATCACATCGCGAAAAGCGATGCAGCGATCAACCGCACAAGAGACGGCCCCAAATTGTGGGCACATCAAGACGTAAGCAGCTTGAGATGGTATATCCCATTGAGTCGTGCCCATTGCAAAATGTGTGAAGAGGGTATAATGATTGTGGCGGAGTGTATGGAACAGGCAGAGGGAGTGGGTGAGGACTGTAAAGCATAGACTACATATATAGTATATACATGCCTCGTAGAGACAAGTTAAAATGTGCACCTTGCCGTCTAGCCATGTAGTAAACTCAGTGAACTCGTAAACTACAAAAGCTACAGAGTTTGATCTCGAATTACCCAAACTTGTGTACCACATGCTAATTAATTTTTCTTTAATATCTCAACCCATTTCCATCATAATGATAAATATGGCTATTTTCAATTTTTTTTTTTTTTCGCATATTTCAAAAACTGTAATATTAATAACTGCCAAGTTGAATATAAAGTCGAGTAGTATATACCAAGATCATAAATATTTCCTTTCTTAGATATCTATAAACTAATTCCATAAAATAGATAGATATAGCTTAATTGAAATATTAAAGGCTTCAGCTTTGGAATCCACACACATTTCTCTCTTATATGCACGGTCTGTAAATTTCAATACAGTCATACATCTATGCTCATGAGCTGGATCTACTTATCCTGCAGGATATCTGCAAAGCGTGCCAGCTGCAACTAGAGCCTATTGCGAGTGGGTTCAATGTACAGCCACACACTTGGCTAGGCGCAGAGTAGGGTCTAATAGCCGTATGCGTTCCCCAATCAATAAAATGCAAATTAAATTGAATAAACACCAATTTCGTATGAATTCAAGAGTGGAATATTAACAAAAACTGAATGCGTGCTTGAATAAGCGGACATGTGGGTGCAAGTGTGTGTGCGTGGGTGTATCTAGATGTGTGTGTTTCATTAGAGTGCTGTGCGTGCTTCACTCATTTTCATTATGCGAAAAAATCAAATTCTGAAAAGTTGCGCTTAAAATATTTCCACATACGATAAAATAACTCGCCCAGTGTCTAGAATTTGGAAAGCAGGCGTACAACTTTCATTACGCAAAAGTTTTTTAATAAAAGTACAAAACATAGTGGCTGCATATAGAACTCATACACACACAAACACACACAGACTCATATGCACATACGGGCAGACATTATTAAAAGCAACTGTTTTGTTTCCCACTGAATGTGCTTTATAATTGTATTTAGAATGTGGGAATTTTCGTTGTGTTCGGTCAACTTTGAATTGAAATAAATTTTATTTTCATATCTCATCCTCTCTCTCTCTCTCCCTCTGCCTCTCTCGCTCTTGTTGTCGCTCTTCTTTGTGTTGGTGCAAAAACGAATTAAAATTTTGTGGCTCATAGAAAAGTATTAATGTGTTTATGGATATCAACTTATTATTATTATTATAAAGTTTCTGGTTTAATTTTCAAAGTAAACAAGGTTAGCAAAACCCGAAATGCATTTGCCTGTAGCATGGATCGCAATGGAGCACGCTCTCTCTCTCTCTCTCTCGCTCTGTCACGCACAGCAAATAAATAGAGTTTATTTCTAATCTGTTTTAGTTAACAAATTGCACCTGAGGCCTATTAGATTATCTATCTATGCTGCGAGGCCAGCTAGATTTTGCGACTGTCCATAAATATGTTAACATCAATTCATATTGGAATAGAGAGCAGGCGGAGAGGGAAAGTGGCAAACGGGCATATGCAGCTGCATAATTGTATTCAATTATCGATATTCATTGAAACAGCTCGGTGATTGGAAAGCTCTATAGTTTTCTGGAATTGCTGTGAAGCCAACTGCACAATACTCGTTGAAGGTAAAGAATGAATGCATTTACATATCGATATTTATCGGTTCCTAACGAGTGCAGAGAAAAATCTATACAACACAGGTTAGTGAAAGGGTTAGCTAAATGTGGTATTCTAGACTTGAAAGATGTATGCATTATAAATATATAACCATTCATTCCAGTATCGATATTTTGTGATAAACACAAGCAAGAGTATATAAGGCAACATTTTAGGTAAGGAGGAGCCACAAGAGTATATACGCAGGTGTATATCAAATTTAAACTTTCAGCCACAAAATCTCATTAAAGAAGCACTAACACTATAGCAAACCAATATACCCATTTCACTTACCTGAACGAGCGTGCAGCCTTAACTGCAAATGAGGCAAGGCAGGAAGAATTAAGTATCATTAGACGGTGTTTGCTCATCAGCTGCAACTAACGACATTATAAGGGGGACTGTGAACTATGGCGTGGCGGAGCCATGAATTCCGCTTTAAAATAATTGAAATATAAATCTTAATATTTAATATTTGATGAGGCGACTTCAATATGCCGCTGTGCGAATGCATTAAGGTGGAGTCATTTCTATTCACAGTGGAGCAAGGCGGAAGCGCGCGGCCAAGAGTTATCAGCCAGATATTAAGTGTAGACAGCAGACCGAGAGAGAGTGAGTGAGAGAGGGGGGAGAGCGAGGGCAGGGCATATACTTTGTATGCAAAATAAAGTGCTTCAAAAGTCAGTTAAAGTGTGTCGCGCTGGCTGAAGCCGCCCAGCATAAAGAGCGTAAAAAATGCTAAATGATAAATAAAATTTACAACCGCAACAACAAGAGCGACATTGGCAGCAGCAACAGCAGCAGTGGCGACGACGGCAGCGGCAGAGCAGCAGCGCCGACAGCGACATGCGAGGAAGCGACAATGATATGGGAAATGGGGGTGGGTTTTGCACTGCCTGCATGGCCAGCATATGGTGTGAGCGGGACAGCAGTGTTTGCATACATGCCTAGCATATGGTGTGAGCGAGAGAGGGAGCATGTCTCTTTTTTTTCTTCTTTGTATTTTGCTGTGCTTGCTTTTGTTGTTGCTGGCGACATAATAAAATGCAATTTAGACATCAAAAATACAGTAAATAGAGCAAGCAAGCAGAGAGCGAAGAGGAGCGGGAGTGTGGGAGAGTAAGCAAGACAGACTGAGAGACAGAGAGACAGACAGCCAGGCAGGCAGGCACATGACTGACAAGCGGCTGGCAAAGGCAAACGACGACCACACAGACCACATACACAGACACACATACACACTTATATATAGAAATTGCAACAAAGCGAGTACGCAGAACAAGCCATGCAAATGCCTAAGTGTGCGTGCGAGTGTACAAAATGGCGGCAAAAGACGCGCAGTGCATGCAAGCAATTGAGTTTTATATTGTCACGAACGTGGGAAGATGAAGACAGCAGCATGATGAATGATATATGTGTGTATGTATGTGTGTGTGTGAGTGTGTGTGTGTGAGTGTGACWGTCTCTGCCTGTGTGCTTATAAAATGTGAATAAATAGGAATAATTTAATGACAGTTAATGTGCCTTTTAAATAAGCCAAGGCAAACAGAACTTGCAGTTGATAAAACTATATATACACATGCATACATATATGTGCATGTGTGTATGTATGTGTATACCTAGAGTAGTTCAAGCAACTGTCACTTGGCTTAAGCAAAAGCACAGAGTGACAGCAGGTCAAGGCAGCAGCAAAGAAGAGCAAGGAGATAGAGAGTGAGAGAGAGGGAGAGAGAGATAGAACTAGCGACAGATAGATAAGACCGGAGAAGAAAATTCTGTGCATTCCAAGCCGTAGCAACGGCAAACAAAAGGTGTGCTCTTAATTTAATTAGAGTTTGCGTGCCGTTAGCTTTTGCTAGCTTAAATTACTTGAATTGCGCCATAGGCATAAGGATGTCCCGCTGCCAGAGCCAAGATGCGGATCTAATGGTCTGGAAATAGCATTTGCCAGTTTTCACAAAACAACAACAGCAACAGCGCAACGTCGCCTTCATGAATTTCATTTCATTTAACACAATTTCATTTAAGTAAATAAAACTTAAATAAATATATATACAGTACATAGAGAGAGAGAGAGAGAGAGAGGGAGAGTGAGAGAGAGAGAGACAGAGAGTGCGACTGCCTGAATGTACGTATACATAATAAATGCAGCATTAAATTGCAGCTTAAAAAACCTCGAATGAAAATGAGTTAATGCGTTTTTTTTTTTAATTTTTTCGCTCATTTTTACTTGTTTCTGCGTTCAGACGAATGCAAATGGTTGTAATGTTAAATGAGTCACAAAATTGGTATACAACACAGGATTTTGGCTTAACAAAATTAATTTCAACTCAGCGATAAGCGCAGCACGAACACATTCCAAATGCCACGGCATGACAGCGTTTGCAAAATGCCTCGCGCCACGGGTCGTATGAGTAACGTAATTATTACATAACTATAAATGGTGAGTGGGGAGTGGAGGGGTGTGAGAGCGGGGTGAGGGAGAGTAAAGGGAGTAATGGGAGTAACGGTAAACGGGTATTACCACCAGCTCTTGACCTTGTGCAGCACCGTCTTAAACACGGGCACCTTCACCGGGAAGGGCTTGGGCACCTTGATGGGCAGATACTTGATGACCGTGTAGGGCACACGCTTCTCTACGGGCACGGGCACGTGCTTCTCGACGGGCACGGGCACCAGGCGCTCCACCGGCACCTTCAGCTCCTTCTCGACGGCGACCTGCACCTGCTTGGTGATGGGTATGTGGATGGGCACGGGCTTCTTGATCGGTATGATGACGGCATGGGAGATCGGAATTTTGACAGGCTTCTCGACGGGCACATGCTGCGTCTTGACGTGCTTCACCGGCACATAGTTGATGATATCCACGTGATGGTGGTGCTGGTGCTGCTGGCCGTGGCTGTCTTCGTGAGCACTGGAGTCGGCTAGGAAATTGCCGGCGTGCTCATCGCCCTCTGATTGCTGCTCATAGTCGGCCGGGCCGCTGCCCGCTGAGTCCGATCCGGCTGACGGCTCGCCCTCGGTCTCGTGAGGTGTGAAATAGGATGCGTGCTCCAACAGCTGTTGCTGGTGCAGCTGTTGCTGCTGCTGGTGCTGCTGCTCCTCGGCATGGTGCTGCTGGAATGCGTCGTAGCCAGAATTCAGAAAATTCCCCACCGACATTTTGTCATAGGCGTAATGGCCGCCGCCCGCCTCCTGCGCCGCCTGCTGCTGGTAGTGCGCCGGCGATGACGGCGTCCACGCCCCATGCTCGGCTCCACTGAAGGCCGGCAGATAGCCAGCCGCATGCTCAGCACCAGCAGCTGGAAAATTGTAAATCGCCGAGTGCTGGCCGCTGCGACCCGCCTCCGCATCGCCGTAATCGCTGGCTGACGCCGCCAGCGCCGCAACGGCCGCATCCTCGTGCTGCTCCTCATAAATTGGTATCTCTTGTTTTGACGAGGCGGCTGCCAAGGCTTCGGTGTGCGTGGGCGCCACTGAGGCATAGCCGTTGCTAATGTGTCCCAGGCCCGAGAGATTTGTGAGCCCATTAAGCACAGCTCCCACACCGCCACCACCGCCCCCGCCGTGTCCGCCCAAACTAGACGAATCGCTCCTATAGCTGCGGCGCTCGCCCGCCGCCCCATCGTACCGCAAGCCGTAGCGCTGCAGCATGGCCGACATGGATGACACGGCCTCCTTCTCGCCCACTGGCCGCCAACGATTATCGTAGTGCCTGGCACCGCCTGTGCTGCCATAACTGCCGTAAAGCGCTGTCTGGGCTCCAGCTGGCATTGATGAAGCTTTCGTCGACGCTGTCCCTGTGGTCGGCGGCACGGCAATCCACACAATTGCAGCGGCCACAAAGAGCGGCATCTGCGGAAGGGACGCTTAGTTTAAGTCCATGAAAATTATTTTAGCAAGTAAAAGTGTTCGAGTCGAGTGGGTCCGACTAGCAGATACCGTGCATAGGCATGCCATATATAATTATGTGTGCATATACATACTATAAATATGTATGAGCACATATGAGGGTGGGTATAGGGCCCAGTTGTTCTTCGTGCTTCAGCTTATGAGGAATAGACTCATTGAACTTGGATTCTAGTAGTCCGATCTTGAGGAACTTTTCAGAGCATGAATATGATATCCAATAGGGAGTGTGTCCCAAATTTCAAGACTCTGCCATTTATGTATTTTGGAATAATGGGAAGTGTTTTCCAAAATTTGTTTATTTTACAGTCTTAAATCGACTTCCTCGAGCCCCAATGGTTCTAATCAATATTTATCGATAACTATGGAATGGGATGATCTATGTGAAGAAAATAATAATCTTAGGATTCTTTGATTGTCTAAGATTATATATTTACAAATTTCAGGCTCTAGCTTATGTAGTTCTCGAGATCGATCCATTTATTCTAGCGGACAAACGAATATACAGACAAACGGACGGAAAGAGCTATGCAGTTCATGCACCTACACAAGAATAAAACCCCTATCACAACGTCTGTTGCAATATACCCTATTGCGTTTTCCGATGCTCACAGGGCATAAAAGGAAAACTCCTTTGATGCAAAGTGCTAGAAAATTGCGCGAGAATAGCAAAAGCGACAACGCCCGAGCGCCTCTTTGACTAATGCATTCTTAATAAGCACCAAGAGATTAACAATTATTGTCCACAATAAAAAGCACTTGCACTTGCCACTTGCCACTTGCTGCTTGCTGCTTGCCACTTGCCTCTGGCCACTCGGCTCTTCACTGTTTCCGCTCATTGGACTCACCTTAATGTTGTTGGCCATTTGGCTTGGATTTAGGCTTAGACTGGAAGTAGTCCTCGGGTTACTTGGCAGCAGACCTCGTTGGCTGCACGGCTGCAATGGAAGTGTCTGCAGTTTGAATGCGGCTCGCGCTTTTATACCGCAGTTTGGCGCCACTAGGACAACAGCTTCCAATGTTTTTCCTATTACACAATCTGCAATCTCAGCGGCGCAATTTCGCAGTCGCTGTTGTTGTTTGTAGAAGGCGGCCGACGCCGCCGACGTCGTGCAGGTGAGCCAAAGTGAGTGTCTTTCATTTGTTGACCTGCCCGTTTCTTCAAGGCCTCTCGCTCGCTCCCACTGCAGTGGGCCCACGAGGAAAACCGTAATGGCATAGCATTTGATATTGCTATTTCCAATTTCGCGCCCATTTCTCTCTCTCTCTCTCTCTCTCTCTCTCTCTCCCTCTCTCACGCGATCTCTTTCACTGGGCATTTATGAATTAAGTTACGCGATCAATTCAAAGCTGCCAAAAACCGGCTGAGCCATAACAAAACGACAATCGCACTCGACTAAACAATAAAGTTCAAAGTCATTTTCCATTTGCCACGGCAGGCGAATGCCAGGAAAAACTGCGGCGGCACGCGCCAATTTTTAATAGCGAACTGCTCAGCGCACTCCAGCCACAGCCACAGCCACAGCCACGATCACGATTTGCCCGACTGCTCCGGCTGCCTCAGCGTGGCCTTCATAATCAAAACAAACTTGCACTCGTTCAAAGTCGTCATCGTTGTCATCATATGCAAAGCCAAGACGAGGGCAGACAGCGGACAGCCGACAGTCCATAGTCCACGGCCCACAGTCGACAGCTGAGCCCAGCTGAAAAGTTGTTTGGCCAGCCACCAGCCGCCAGCAGCCAGCGAGCGACTCCAATTGGAGTGCAGCTCAGATTGGCAGACAAAAGCTGATTGCTGTGACTGACAAAAGCTGCCCGCTGGGCATTGCATGGCCGAGCCGTGGGCTGGCGTAGAAGCAGACGTCTGTCTGAGATAAATCGATGGAGAGATGGGCATGGTTAGATATGGGCCGGATTAACAACTAGGCAGACTTGCCTGGGGCCCCTGCAAAATAAGAGTCATTAAACATGTTCTTACAAACAGAAAGCTCCAGAGAGTCAAAGAAAAAGGAGGGAAGAGGCGTGAAAAAAAATTTATGATTGCCCAAAGCCTAGTTGAGGCTTAATCCGTCCCTAGGTTAGATCTCCATAAGCTATTATAACTTTAAATAAAAATATATTTTGTAAAACTTTAATTCAAGAATTGGGATATTATTTGTATAATTATATATTCAAATATTAATA